TGATTGCGCGTGCATGCAAAATGACATACACGTACATATTAGCACACATGCACACAAAGATACCTACATGTTTGTACATACACACACACATACATACATACATACATACATACATACATACATACATACCTACGTACATACATACATACATACATACACGAATGTACATATTACGCATACACACACGGACATGGACCACAACAGTTGCTTCTGGGCGTGGATACCATACTCAACTGGACACATTGAATAGGGTTTGGAGTATACTAAGGTATAGCCACATTAGGAACTACGAACTACCTGGGATTAACAACATGACTAGTTAGCAAATTATATATGGGGACACCAAGAGAATAGTTATATTCCAAATTCGTCAAGCCCTTTTCGTGCACTGCTTCTTCCACTGCAGGAAGCTATTGACTCTCTGTGGATATTCACAGTCGTCTTTCAAGGAGGAACCCCTGACCGAAGAGCTCACGGGTTTAGGTTGCAGGGTTCAGAGTATAGGGTTTAGGGTTTGGTTTTGAAGGCTTAAGATTTAGGGTTTGAGGGTTTACAGTTAAGGGTTTAGGGATTTAAGGGTTCAGGTTTAGGGTGTTGGATTAGAATTCAGGGTTTACAGTTGATGGTTTAGTGCGAAGGGATTTTGGATTTAGGAATTTCCGCTGCCAAGGGGTCCCTCCTGAAGCTCTCTGAGGGGAAGTTTCGAGACCTTTCCCCGGACTCTGCGCAGCACACCCCCAAGCCACTGGGTTTATGGCTTAAGGTTCAGGGGCTTCAGAGTTCAGCGCTCACAGGGGTTGAGACTTTCGGCTTTAGGGCTTTAGGTTTTAGGACTTAGGCTTCATGGCTTTAGGAGTTGAGGGGTTTACGGCTTCAGGGTTCAAGGCTTTGGGGGCTTCCGGGAGTCGAAGCTTAAGACGACGCCCGAAGTACGCACGAAAGCCTGCACCTGTGAAGCGAAGCGTTTGAGTGTTTTGTTTTAGGGCTTAACCACATGGTTAGTCGTGGTTTTCTATGTCAATTATCATTGTTGCTAACTTTTCTTGCTAATATGATGCTGGTTTTGATTATTCAGGCCCCTGTGTTCTTGCCGCCTCAGACGAAGTCCGAGAAAGGCGGATGCGAAAGCAGCTCGGCCGGTCCAAGGGGCAGCGAACCGTTGTCCTGTCGGGTTGGAGGCAGCCTTCTTCTTCTAAAGCACTTCAGGGCTTGGGAAGCTTAGAGCTTCAGGCCCTTCAGCGTCTTGGGTTTAGGGTTTCGGGTTTAGGGTATAGGGTTTAGGGTTTAGAGTATAGGGTTTAGGGTTTAGGGTTTAGGGTTTCGGTCGGGAATCAAAACTTTGCCAAGGACCCCTGGAAGAAGCTTCTTCCAGACGTTGGAAGGTACTGGGCGTGGGCTTGGACTGTTTCGAGTTTGCTCCTCGCTGGCTTCGAAAAGCCATCTTAACACCTTGTCCTAAACCCGCTGATCGTCCACCGAATAGGCTCACGAAGCTGAAACTGAAGAATATGCCTTACAGTATATGGGTAGCTCTAAATTAGGTTCCGTTTTGAGTTCCCAATTATTGTACGGCACCCTTATCAAAAAGACCCCAAAAGAGACCCTAATTCAGAGAAGTACCCATATGTCTCTACTGGATGCCACAAAGTTCCGTGCATCCGTTCACAAAGAGCATCACTGACGGCGCTACATGTCTTTTCAAACGTCGGTGCGACATACACACCCTAAGGCACACTTCAATCTTGCCATTAGGCCATTCGGAGTCTGATTTTGGGGCCCCTTCTTTTTCGAGACGGACATACAGGCAACATCATACGACCCAGCTGTCCATGTCTGGAAAAGGCCGCGCATTCTGGACCTGCCAAGAGCAACATGGTCAGCAGATCCCACCCCAACACCTTAAACTCTCGAACGAAAACTCCTAAAGCCCGAAAGCATTGCGGAACCCTTGTGGAGCCAAGTATAGAATTTAGGATCCCCTGGGGCCCCAAAGCTTGCACCTTTCCTTGGGTGTCGGTTTAGAGTCCTGCGAGGCAGCTAAGAGGCACTTTGAGGTTCCCTACCCTCCTAAGCCATTTTAGGGTTTAGGGTCAACTGGTGAAGACTTTGGGGCCTAAGCCCTAAACGCTAAACCCCCCAAAACCCGCTGAGGCTCCTAACCTGTGCAACTGCCCGGTCAGACGGAGGGTTAAAGCGTTTAGGCTGTGTATACTGTTATATACTATTATGTACCATGTGTACTATTATATACTAGTATATATCTTTGGGACCTAGGATTAAGGGCCTTTGGGTTTTGAGTTCAGGTGCTAAGATACAGGGCCCTAGAGTTTTAGAGTTCAGGTGTTCGGATGGAGGGCCCTAGGGATGTAGAGTTCAGGTGTTAGGGTTTAGTAATTTAGGGTGTAGGGTGTAGGGTTTAGATCGAGGGTTAGGGTTTTGGATGAGAGTGGGCAGGATGTAGCGACGCATATCTTTAGAGCTAGAGTCTAAGGTGTTGAGCCACGCAAGGCAAGACTGCACTTCATAGCACAGCGACGCTTGGGTGTATCTTCATTAGAGCATCGAACTTCGGGTGTTATCCGACTCTGATTCATGGAACCAAGGCCGTCGAGCCTGAGTGAAACCTTCCTGCTGATCAAAGCACAGAAATCCCCTAAACCCATGGCGGCTTTCTTGCAGGTCATGTGACGGCAACCCGGGCCCATGAGCAGTGCCGGGGCTGCCCAAAATGGGAAACCACCCTCTACTGACGAAGCTCTCTCAGCAACCCTACCAGCTTCGAGGCTCTGGGCTCTTTCAGGATGGAGGAGCAAGACTGACGTAAACGTATTCGTTCCGGGATGCAAAAACAAGCCTAGATTACGGAACTGCTGTCTTTTTCCGTCTCACGCCGCAGGCTGAGGGTCAAGATTCGGTTTGCGCTTTGGAGCAGACGGATCTCTGCTCGAATGCGTCAGAGTCACTCAAGCCGGTTAGAAGGGTGGCTTAAACCTTGCCAGTCCGACCAGGGCTGGCTTACAATAAGAGCACACTTTCAGGAAATTCCTCTACATCGCCCTTAGCTGGGCGCTATGGTCAAAGGCTCAAAAAGACCTGGACCCTGCTTCTTGCCATTCTCACAAAATCTGGCAGCTCGACATCTAGCTTCAGTTGATCCGCAAGAGCTCCACCTGCATGTGGTATGAAAGGTAAACAGACCGACACGTCGCCTTCTACAGACCCTTCCAATTTAAAAACACTGCACACAACAAAACGATCAAACAAAGAAGAACTCCTTTTGGATCCCTGGGACTTCGAAGGTGAGGTCCGCATTCGGCGGGATGACGCGGCCGGCGCCCCGTGCGCCGTAGCCGTAGTCCGAGGTCATGCGAAGGATCGCCTTCCTTGGCACCGAGAGCCGTCATACTAAGCCAGAGCTTCTTGGTCTTAATGTGTTTGTGGATGAAAGGGGCGGTTTAGGGGCCCTAAACCCTAAACCCACCCCAAACCCTTACGGTTCCAGGGTTCAGGGTTTCAGCTTGTTGGCCTTCGGGTGAGGGGCTTTGGGGTCTTTTAATGCAGGGTACTGGGTTCCCCCTGCTTGGAGTTGGCGAAGCTTGGTTGATGCACCCCTGAGATTAGCTGCGGGTTGACCTCTCCGGCTTCCTGGGGCAGGAACGGTTTGGTGTTTATGAAGTCATGTACTTGACAAGGGAAGCCCGGTGTACTACAGCCGGCAGTGGCGACACAAAGGATCTAGACACATGGATGCCGGAAACAGCTACTGAGACATCTTGGCAGACACAGCAAACCACAATGCAAGTCCGTAGAAGGTGCATGTCATTACGCATTCCGATTCAAAAACCAAGACATGTTCCGACACCAAAGTCAAAAACCTGGAACTAATTACTACAGACATTCACGATTCTGGTTCGTTCGGAATAGTTGGAATAGCTGACTGTTAGTTCTTGGAATCAGAATTGGCATGCTGTTTTTCGCCACACCACACCCACACAACACTCTGGGGCACCTACTTCTAAAAAGCCGCTGTTCACCCACCCAACATAGATTATACAGCGGCCGGAACAAGTCAGTAGTATCCCGGTAGAACTGGGGGTCGCAGCTTCAGGATTTAGTGTTACGGGCTGGGAAAAAGGGGTTTAGGATTGAAGGTTCAGGGCTTAATCTGGTCAAGCCGTAGTTATCTCAGGAGGCTCTGGGTTGAAAAGTTTTGAAGACCAGGAGGATGCAACTAGTAGTACGAGATAGTACGAGAAGTACTCGTGGTGCTAGAGCAGTAGTAGTAGTAGTAGTAGTAGTAGTAGTTGTAGTTGTACTAGTAGTAGTAGTAGTAGTAGTAGTAGCAGCAGCAGCAGTAGCAGTAGCAGCAGCAGCAGCAGCAGCAGCAGTAGTAAAAGTAGTAGCAGCAGTACTAGGTTTTACAAGTAGCACTGGTAGTACTCGTGGCAATCACTTCTAGTCCTAGTAGTCCCAGCACTACTAGTCATACTAGAAGTACCAGTAGTACTACTCTAGTGGTACTAGTAACTCGTAGTAGTCCGCTTGCAGCATTTCGAACCCCCCCGGGCCAGGAATGACAAAAGCCCCATTAATGATACTGCAAGCGATGACAACCACAGAAGTCGTTACACAACCTGAACACTTACCCAAACGAGCTAACTGCTGCAAGGACTGAAACCACGAACTACGACATTGATCTTGCAACTACCGGCTAGCTTGTCACCAACCAGCAGAAGCACCATCATTATCATCGATGATGATTCTTCATCACGTTCATCATCATCACCAGTACTCCCTTCCTCCCCAACAGCACGATCATCAGCATCAGCACCGTCTGCACAAACGTTGGAATCATGATCATGATCATCCTCATCCTCGCCACCATGGTCACAACCACCATCCACATGAGCATCCTTGCCATCATCGAATTATCATCAACATTATCCTCAGCGCCATCATCACCAGCAGCACCAAGACCCTTCGCCATGCTGCCAGGATGCTCCCCGAGGCTCATGGTGGGTACGCCCTCGTCCCAGCCACGGATGACCTGGGTGGCTTTTAAGGTTTTGAGGTTTGGGGCTTCATCTCGGCTCAAGGGTTTTGGGGTTCCGGCTTTCATGGTTCAGGGTCGAAGTTTACTTACCTTTGGTTAGTAGGGAATGGGGGAATGGGAACTATTATAAGTACCATTACTACCATTCTTCCATTCCCTACTAACCAAAGGTAGGTTTAGGGCGTCAGAGTTCCGTTCTAACCTTTGCTGACACTCGAAGCGCCTGCATGAGGCAAGCAGCCCTAGGCCCCAAAGAAGCTCTAAGGGTTTAGGGTTAGGGTTTAGGGCTTAGGGTTTAGGGCTTAGGGTTTAGGGCTTAGGGTCTATGCCCGACCCATCCCACATGTGCCCCCCGCGGCATTCTCGCACTCAGGATGCAGGGGCCAGGATATGAAACATGCTCAGGCTTATGATGATTGAGGAAAATGGTTGAGACCCGGTGGCCTGACCGGAGAGCGAAGAACAAAACCTGGCAAGCCCCAACCTTAGATCCTAAACCCTGCAGCCCAAAACAAATCCTACATCCAGAACAAAAGCACACAAACCTGTCAAATCTACAAAACTTAAACCGTGACCCGACCCAGGGTCTGGCTTCAAGGAAGCTTTGCTCAGCCATCACACTTATTTTTTATGCGTCGGCTTGGAGTTCAGGATTCACGATTTCAGTCTGTCAGGAGACCTTAAGCTGTCAGAGGCTTACGGTTTAGAGTTTAGGGTTTACGGTTTAGGTTAAAGTATTAAGGGGTGCAAACCTGGGTCATTCTTGCGGTTCTCGCACGTCAAATCAAGGACTTCAAGCTAAGTGCCAGCAAGAACAAGACGAGGATGAGTCAGGATCATCGACCCACTCCAAAATCATATCGGCGGCCCTATTACTACTGCGCAGTTGTCAGTAGTATCTGGGCGAAACACAACGATGGCAAAGAGCTCAGCATCATCATTACGACCAACACCGTCGCCATCATCAGCATCCTCGTCACCGGAATTGTCATTGTCCCCGGCGTCGTCCTCACGGTTCGCAGTGTGGGCATCATCATCCATCGGCAGCAGCGGCAACGGCAGCGGCATCGCGGTCAGCTCATCCCATGATCAGCAACACCGCCACAATCGTCGTCACTGTCATCGCCGACAATGCTGTCATCGACATCGTTACCACCATTACAGATCACACTCATCACTGGTCGACATCAACATCGCGGTCCTAGTCAGTCAAAGTGACCACCTCGCAGTCACCATAGTCGCCATCATCATCTTCATCATCATTATCATCGCCATCATCCTGGTCGTCATCCTCGCAACGTGTTAACCAGTAAGGGTAGTCATATTACAATCGCCACCGCATCAACTGTGACTATGATCACCGTAAGTTCCTGGGCCACAAGCCTGGCCCACGCCAATTTGCGTCCGAAACGGCTGGCCTCCGCGTCCAGGGGAGGAAGCCCCAAGAAGCCCCAGGCGCTTTTTGAGGCTACGACTTCCTTAGGGCTTAGGGTTTAGGGTTTAGTATAGACAGTATAGACGTCTTCATCATAATCAGGGTCTCGGTGGATCCTAGATTCTATAAGACTACAAAGGGCGCTACGGGAAGATCATGCCCTATACTACAGCAGGGCCCAAACGCAATATCCCCAGAAGATGTACGAGACGGAAACGCTACTTGTAGAACCAAATTCGAGGTCAGCCAAGTAGAGGTATCAGTCCCCGCCTTCTGTCGCCTCTGCTTTAGGGTTTGGGGTTTAGGGTTTGGGATGAGTTACACTGAAGACCAAGAATAGAAGCATTGACACGGTCCAAGGGCCGGCCCAGCAACCAAAGCAGTGCCAAGGAGCCTTCAAGTGAACCCTGAGAATCCGATTTCAAAAGGCGTGAGAATCTTAGGTCAAAAGGCTCAAGGATTAGGGTTTAGAGTTTGGGGGGTTTAAGGGTGTAGGGTTTAGGGTTCAGGATTCAGGGCTTAGGGGCTCTATGGGGGTCTAGGGGTTACGGGGTTAGGCTGTAGGGTGCTGGGATTCAGGGGGGTCTCTACATGGCTCCGATAGGGCGCAGAACACATGCCTCGGTCTCGGCTGGAATCGAACTTCTTGCCGTTGCTCAAAGTTCCCGTGTAGTGCATGGTCACGGTATCACCTTTCCTGATCTGGATGCAAGCGCAGAGGTCACGGGCCTTGAATTTGTGGCTCTGCTATCCAACCTGTTGCAACATCGAACTGTTCGATTCAACAACAGCCGAGTCAACTATAGTGACTCCCACACCCAGCAAATCTGTAGGCAGAGGGCTTTGGGTAATTTTTGCCGTCGCCCTCCTGGAGCACCTCCTTCGTGACGCCAAACCGCGTCACGAGGCTTCGATTGCGGGAACCTTGGAAGAAAATCAAGCAGGGCCAGGCCTAGGGTCCTAGAGTTGAGGGCTGCGGCTTCCCATCTCATTTTGGGGGGGGGCCCTGAGTCATCAGGCTTTTGGGGGTATACTATACGTATAGTATACCCCAAAATAGTATTGATGATTATGTAGATCCCCTATAAAAATTACGCTGATGTCAGATCGGCCCGAGGCCCTCGATGCTTTGGGGATCTACCTTTGGAGTAAGCTCGTGCTGCAGAAGATCCGACTGCCTGGGCTGTCCACAAGCTGCTCGCTTCTGCTAGGCTGCTCGAATCCTCTCTTTCAGTAGTACTATTTTGGGGGTTCCTTACTATAGTTAGAGTAGAGTATACCCAAAAAACCTGATTCCTTGGGGCAGGTCCGGTTCCGCTGCAGCTAAAAGCAGCGGACGCGCACTTTATAGGATCGGGTTTTTGGCCTTCACGGGGCTTGAAGCTGGGGTTCCGAAACCCCCCGAGCCCTAAACCCAACAGCGTTGCATGGTGCTGTGAGTTGCGAATCATCCGCCCATATGCAATTCTCCGAAGGCTTACAAGGCAGATTTGGGCTTGGGGTTTGAGGTGTCGGTTTTGGGAGGCAGGTGCGAGGGAGCCGAATTCAAGCTCATTGAACACAAGCAGCTCCAGCATCGGACCAGGGTACACAGCACTGGAGTCGTTACTGTAGGCAGAGAAATCCAAGGCTGCCAGCACGGTTGTGACGTCCAGCCCTAGTCCAACCTACGGAACATGACCTGAATCGAAGAAAGTAGAGAGCTAGCTCCTCTGCCAAAAACGACGAAAATAAGTTCTCCGGGTAGGTGCAATCATCTGGACGAGGAACTAGGCCACTCGGATGCGGGCGTGACAAAGAGGCAGCTGCTATACAGTGCAGCACCGAGACAGCAGAAGGACAGCAGCCACCCCTTCACCATGCTCAAAGCAACACCAGCTAAAGGTGTCACGAAACTAGACTCTAGACTACTCAAGACAAGCTTGAGCCGCCGCGCATGAAGAGACAGAAGGGTATCCGAAACCCAAACCCATAAAGCAAAACCCCCCAAAGTGTGAGAATGACGGAACCCTCTCATGGTAAGCCCACGACTTCCGGCTTGGGGGTTCGGACTGGGCGGTCTTATGAGAGATCCTGCCACTCTTAAGGCATTCGGCCCGGCTCTCAAGTTTCAAGCTCACGCTCTGCTCCGAGACTCCGACTCCGACTCTGGAATAGAAGAAAGAAGAGCGTGGACTCAGAGACCCGCTTCGCTCAAGACAAAACGGGAAACGGAAAGGCTTTTAGCCAAACAAGGTCCACCCGGTCATCCTCTGCATCGAAACGTCGGCCCTCGACCCTAAACTCAGGGGTCAGCTAGATCTGCCCCCACTCATACTATCATGTACTATAATATTCCATAGTTCTCTCGTGTGACAGATTATGGTATACTTTCCCTAAACTCCCCACTCCGCCTGCTCGGCAAGGGCCGACAATCCGAGACCTCCGAGGCCGATCCTGCTCTCAGAGAAATGCCGAAGGCTGGCTTCAGGGCTTTGGGGCCGAGCGATCTGATGTTGGGTAGTTCTCTAAAGATAGGATCCCTTTTCGGGTCCTTTTTTATAAGGGTGCCGTACTACAGTGGGGACCTACAAAGGGACCCTAAACCCCTTTTGGGGGCCCTGAGGAGTTGGAATAGGGGTTACTGGGGGCCTAGAACCCAGAGAGTCCTGAAACCCAGGAAGTCAAAACCCCAAAAGCTCCCAGGCCACATCGGAGCCCTAAACCCTATAAGCCCTAGGGCCTAAGCCCTAAAGCCTGAGCCCTAAACCCAAAACCCTAACGCCCAAACCCCAAAGCCTGGGCCCTAAACCCTAAAACCCCAAACCCTAACACTTAAGCCCCAAAGCCTGGGCTCTAAACCCTAAACCCAAAACCCTAACACCCAAAACCCTGAAGCCTGGGCCCTAAACCCGAGCTCCTCAGGCGTGCAGACTGGCTGGGCCCAGAGACCGTCTTCAGCCCTTGCCACAAGCGGCGGTGGGAAACCTTGGGCTCCGGGTTTGAAGCCCCTTAGGGGGTGTATAGGGTTTTGGGCTTAGGCGGGTCTAGGGTTTAGGGTTTAGGCGGTTTAGGGTTGAGGGTCTAGGCGGTTTATAGGGTTTAGGGTTTAGAGTTTAGGGTTTAGGCGGGTTTAGGGTTTAGGGCTTATTGGGTTTAGGGTTTAGGCGGATTAGGCGGTTTAGGGTTTAGGGTTTAGGTCTAGGGGGGCCTTACCAACGGTTCCGTGAAAGGGCTTCTTGCAGGGTTACTAGAAGGTTCACTACAAGGGTTTTGTGTAGGGGCCTTAACCAGTAGAACAGGGTTTGGGGTATGTTATAGTACAAAGAAGAAAGAACCGTAGAGAGTAAGATTGCAAGGAATAACATTCTTAAGAAACCCTACGGAACAGTTTGCAATTATTCAGGCCCATACATATACTTATATACTGTGCAAGATGCAAGAATAAGGGGAAGGACAGTGCTGATGGCAAGTGTGGTACTACAAGCACAAACTTCAATGGCATTGACGATGACGGATGATGTGGCGAAATCAGAAGAATTGCAAAAGTCAGAATAACAACCCTAAACCCTAAACCCTACACCCTGACAAAAAATTGCGTTTGGAAGCCTCCCGGCGGCCCCAGCCCTAAACCCTCTACGCTCAAGCAACCGCGGCAAGTAGCATGATCCTGTATGCGCAGTCCCAACAGCGCAGAAACTGTTCAAACTCCCAAACCCCCAACCCTAAAACACGAAAACCAAATCCAAGAAAAACAAAAGAAAGACTGAACCCCAAGCACTTCTCTACCCGGCTGCCGGCTCCACCAGCAGCGCGGCGCCCAAGAGAGCGGCCATCAGGCGCATGAACTGGGCCGTATGGTAATGTTGTTGTTGTTGCTACTCCTACTATTCCTAATCTTTTTCCTACTACGAGAACTAGTGCTAGGGGTGCGAGTATGAGTACTATGACTACTTGTACGATTACTCTTAAGAATTGCTTGTTGTACGCTCACTGCAACTATAACTATTACCATGATTGCATCTGGACATAGCTCACTCCGATTCTTCTTCCATCAGCGATTCCGAGTTTCTGGTACTGGCATACTAAACGCGGAGGCGTATTAAGACTTGCAGAACCCAACAAACAAGCAGTCACCCGCTGAGCCCGACAAGCACCAAACGACCTGCTGAAGGTGCTGAGTGCCCAGAAGCAAGGTTTGGGGTTTTGCGTCCGTTGTGCAATACGATGGAGCACCTCCGAAGACTCATGCATTCAGATTTTGGGCCAGCAACCCCACAACCCAAGCCTCCAGCCTACATTCCCTTCCCTTGTAGTCTCTCTCATCTAACTCTAACATAATGTACTCCCCTCCCAAATCCCAAACCCAAACCTCCGAACCCTGAGCCTTACACCCAAAAACCCGAAACCCCTAAAACCCCTAAAACCCTAAACCCTAAAACCCTAAACCCCTGAAACCCTGAAACCCCTAAACCCTAAACCCTACAACCCTCAACCCCTAAAGCCCTAAACCCTAAACCCCTAAAGCCACAAAAGCCCCGGAATAGCAGGAAAGTTGGCCTGCTTCAGCTCCAGGGAAAGCCCGAGCACGCCGAAGGCCTGACAAAGCTCCGGTTAGGGTTTAGGGTGTAGGGTTCAGGGTTTAGGGTTTATAAGGTTCAGGGTTTAGGATTACAAGGCTTAGGGTGTAGGATTTAGGGTTTATAAGGTTCAGGGTTTAGGACTACAAGGTTTAAGGTGTAGGGTTTAGGGTTTAGGGCTTACAGTCGGTTTAAGTTTTAGGGCTCTTGATTAGTGTTGTAACCCTGAAGGGTTTAAGGTCAAGGGCTGAGGGTTTGGGTACAGCCCGAAAAGCACTGTGTTGGGTCCGTGCTCGTAGTTCCGGTCTTCGGTTCAGGCTATGGGTTTACCTGAGAATAGGGATTAGGGGTTTAGGTGTTAGGGGTCTAGGATGTAAGGGTTCAGGGTTTAGAGTTCAGAGGTTGCTTTGGTGGATCCGGATTGAGCGCTGCCACAAACAGACCTAGCGTGGAAAGACAGACAAGAAGAAGCCCAAGGACCGTTGACTACGATAACACCAATAAAACCCTAAACACTAAACCCCTAAACTCCTAAACCCCTAAACCCCTAAACCCAATAGAGGTAAGACTGAAGAGGACGTTGCTTGGAGGCTTGCAACAGCCAGGCCCCTCCTGCTTGACATTTAAAGCTTCTTCTCGAATCTTGGAGCTCTTCCTCCCGAAATACCCGCAAACCTCTTAACCCTTAACCCTAAACCCTAAACCTAAACCCTAAACGCCTGGACACCTCCAAACCGGCTGTCTATGGCCTGGTGACGATGGGTGGGAAATCAGCCCTAAACCCTAAACCCCCTAAACCCTAAATCCCCTAGACCCTAAACCCTAACCCCTAGGCCTGATAGCTGATGGGGTCCGAACCCTGAAATCCCGGCCCACGGGATGTTCAGGGCCTTCGCGCGCATCTCAAGCCAACGCCTCTCCACCTCGAGCAGCTTAGACGGGTTTGGGGTTTAAGCTTTGGGGTTTGGGGCACAATGGTACGATGCTACATGTTTCGGGCGCTAGGTTCAGCAATTAGGAGCTTAGCTTTGAATGTCTTTGGCTTACAGAGTTGAGTTTCGGCTTCGGGCTTAGGATTTAGGATTTTTGGCGCAAGGTTGAGGGTCTTGGGTGTGGCGTTTACGGGAGGCTTTGGACCAGAGTCCTCGGGGCCGAGCTTGCTCCAAAATGTGAGTTCCAGGTCCAGCGTAAAGCTCACGACTGGACAAAACCAAGGACACAAGCAGAAGTCGAGAGTCCACCAGGAGCCCAACCAACCCGCGAAAGCCCGGGACAACTCGCCCCGCCAACGCAAAACCGTGCATTGAAAGCTAAACCCTGAACCCCAAACCCTGAATCCTAAACCCCCTGAACCCTAAACCCTAA